GGCTACGGGCTTTTATCTTTAGGAATCTTACAGTCTGTGCTCGTGAGCGGTTCCCTCAGGTGGCCCGCAACGGCCCACATCGGGTATCATCCACCCGGTGTTGGGCAGCACCAGGTGGTGCTCATTTGCCACTGACTTTGCTAGGATCAGGCTTTGTAGCACGTAATTTCAGAAAGGGGAACGACACAAAAAGGAGGAGGTGAGTGAAACAGAAATTAAAAGGTTCAGCACTAAAAGTAAAATCCCTGCAAGCTGCATGGAAACAAAGACACCGTAATAGAGGCTCAATTTAAACGTATCCCCCAAATTAAACGAGAACCAAAAAGGACCCCCTGTGGCTAAACAAGAAAGTAAAAGAAGCAGTGAGAGGCAAAAAGGCATCCTTGAAAAAGTGGAAGTTAAATCCTAGTGAGGAAAACAGAAAGGAGCATAAACTCCGGCAAATGAAGTGTAAAAATATAATTAGGAAGGCCAAGAAAGAATTTGAGGAAGAGTTAGCCAAAGACTCAAAAAGTAACAGCAAACTTTTTTTAAGTACATCAGAAGCAGGGAGCCTGCGAAACAACCAGTGGGGCCACTGGACGATGGAGGTGCTAAAGGAGCACTCAAGGACGATAAGGCCATTGCGGAGAAACTAAATGAATTCTTTGCATCGGTCTTCATGGCTGAGGAGGTGAGGGAGATTCCCAAACCTAAGCCATTCTTTTTAGGTGACAAATCTGAGGAATTATCCCACATAGAGGAAGTTTGGGAACAAATTGATAAAACAGCAATAAGTCACCAGGACCAGATGGTATCACCCAAGAGTTCTGAAGGAATTCAAATGTGAAATTGCAGAACTACTAACTAACCTATCATTTAAATCAGCTTCTGTACCAAATGACTGGAGGACAGTTAATGTGACACCAATTTTTAAAAAGGGCTCCAGAGGTGGGACCCTGGCAATTACAGGCCAGTAAACCTGACTTCAGTACCGGGCAAACTGGTTGAAACTAGAAGAACAAAATTGTCAGACATGTAGATTAACAAAATGTGTTAGGGAAGAGTCAACATGGTTTTTGTAAAGGGAAATCATGCCTCACCAATCTACTAGCATTCTTTGAGGGTGTCAACAAGCACATGGACAAGGGTGATCTAGTGGATTTAGTGTACTTAGATTTTCAGAAAGCCTTTGAGAAGTTCCCGCACCAAAGGCTCTTAAGCAAAGTAAGCTGCCATGGGATAAGAGGGAAGGTCCTCTCATGGATCAGTAACTGGTTAAAAGATAGAAACAAAGGGTAGGAATAAATGGTCAGTTTTCAGAATGGAGAGAAGTAAATAGTGATGTCCCCCAGGGGTCGGTATTGGGCCCAGTCCTATTTAACCATAAATGATCTGGAAAAAGGGGTAAACGGTGAGGTGGCAAAATTTGCAGATGATACAAATCTACTCAAGATACTAAAGTCCAGAGCAGACTGCGAAGAGCTACAAGAGGATGTCTCAAAATTGGGTGACTGGGCAACAAAATGGCAGATGAAATTCAATGTTGATAAAAGCAAAGTAATGCGCATTGGAAAACATGATCCCAACTATACATATAAAATGACGGGGTCTAAATTAGCTGTTGCCACTCAAGAAAGATCTTGGAGTCATTGTGGCAGCCTCTATTTGCCAGAAGCTGGGAATGGGTGACGGGATTGATCATTTGATGATTATCGGTTCTGTTCTGTTCATTCCCTCTGGGGCACCTGGCGTTGGCCATTGTTGGAAGACAGGACACGGGGCTAGATGGATTAGTCTGACCCAGTCTGGCTGTTCTTATGTTTGCCCTGCTCCCCACCCCTCCACCAGCCAAGGAAAGGTAACCAGACCCTCTGCACTAAAACCTGCCTTGACCATGAAAGATTAGCATGGGTCTGACCCCACCTTTACAAGCAATTTGAGCCAGACCCAGGTCTGTGTACCAGGCACCCGGCTGTCTAGCTGCTGACACAGGAACGGACTGGCTGGCAGGACCGTGTCGTGCTCCGCTGCGGGTTTGGTACCCAGGGCCGTGTACTTGGCACGACGCTCCACCTGAGGCAAGGTGAGGAGAGCAGCGCCCGGACGCAGCCGGCACAAGGGGATTCTGCTGGAACACCTCCGAGCCTGCTGGGAGGGGAACCTCTGAGCCCAGCTTCCAAGCAGGGGCCTGGCTCAGAGGAAGCGCTGGGGCTTGGCACCTGTAAAACTGCCCAGGCCAGAGCCCCGGGGAAGGGAACGTAGACACAGCTGGGCCTGCTGGGGCTTTGTTGGAAGTCAGGCGGCCTGCGCCTCGGCCGTGACTAACTCGGGGGGGAGCGGTTACTGCTGAAGCTACGACCCAGCGGTTACAAATGGTCAAGACGGGGCGAAGCTGCCAGGCAGCGGCTAAGTCGTTAAAGCTTCAGGCTCCCGGCTGGAACGAACAGGGGTTCAGCTCCCAGCTGGCCTGGCTCTGCTGTAGAGCGTGGCCCCAATGGAGCCGGGACCAGCAGGGGCCCTACCCCCCAGTCATAGGGCTGGAGCCATAACCGGGGCGGTTTCCAACACACGCTGGTGTACGCTAACGGCCAGGCCTGCAAACGCGCCCCGGGTGCCGCCTCATGCAGGGCTCGTCAGCCCCGGGCGGAGACTCTAGGCCTGTGGGCCCAGCCGGCCAAGCCCCACGCGGGCCCTTAGTGCTGTGATTGCTACGCACGTCAGAATACGATCTCGGGCCCTGGCTGCAGAAACGTTTCAGTGAGCGCAGGAGCTCGGGGCGGGGCAGTTCAGCTTGTGCTGAACGCTCACTGTGCCGGCTCCCTTCCTGTCCTCCTGATGGGGAACGACGGGGGAAGCCCCACCACACACACACACACACACACGGGCGTAGGCAAGTGGTTGCTTTTATTAACAGCTGAGCACTTCCCTTGCCGCGTCTCTGGGCCAGGCCAGTTCCTGGGGGCCGTGACGCCAGCTCCCGGATACTGTGACTCCTTCACGCCCGCAGGCTCGGCCGGGCCTGTCCTTTCAGCAGGCCCCAGCACCTGCTGCCCACCACCAGGCAGTTCTCGTAAGTGCCCAGGGCCGTGGGTCTAACAGTCTCTTTCGTCCATCACAGGCCTTGCAGTGCTCTGGCAAGGTGGGGCCTGGCCCGCAGCCTAGTGTATTCCCAGCAGGTGGTGGTGTGGGCCAGCCTCCATCCATCCCTGCAGGAAGGGCCCTCTCCCCCCTGCCCCTTTGGGGTCCACAGCTGGGAGGTTGGCGTGGAGCGGGCAGCTGAGCCGGGCACCCTGCGCCGACAGATCCAGCGGAGCATCGCCCTGTAGAGGTCAGTTTGCCTCGTCTCCCCCTCGGGGCTGGCGTGCACGGCCAGGCTCCCCCGGGCGCCCGGCAGGAGGGAAGGGAAGTGGGTGAGTGCGCGCGACGTGCCCACGTCCTCACTGCTGCATGCCGCTGGCCTGCATCGCCCAGGGGCCCGGGCCTGGCTCCAGGTTCGAGGCCGGGTGGGCCTGCAGGCTCTGCTGGTTTTGCCAGAGCTGATGCAGCTCCTTGAACTGCTCCACCATCTTGTCTTTCAGGTCCGGATGGGAGATCTGGAGGCGGATGCTGTCTGCCGACCAGGAGAGCTCCCCAGAGAACATCTCCAGCAGGATCCGGGCGGCCACTGGCACGACCTGGGCGGCAGACAAAGAGCAGGCAGGAGCTAGCCCGCTCCCCTCTGCCCCTGCACAGCCTCAACCCCCCCACATCCTGGGGCTGAGTCACCCGGCCCCTCTCTGGAGTCCCTGCTCCCAGCACGTTATCTTCTCTCCACCTGACCCCTGCCGGGTAACAGCCTACTCCTGCTGCTGCGTCTCCACCCTTCCCGGCAGGCCAGGGCTGCGATTAGGTCGTAAGCTGCACGGGGCAGAGGCCTTGTTTAGCACTGTTCAAATATCTGAGCTTGTCCCCGGGAGGGGAGTGGCGGAGAGGCCGGCGGCACCAAGGGGCCGGCTGAATTAGGGAGCAGCGAGGAATCGGTGACCGAGTTTCCCGGCCAAGGACTGATCAGTCACCCGGCTCCCAGCCCAAGATGCTCTGGTGACCCCATGCTTGGGAAGGGAATCGCACCCACCCCTGGCCCCCACAATCCCCCTTTGCAAGCTGTAGGCATCTACCCATCCCAACCACTCGGCCTTCCCTGGGCTGTTGCTGGGGGCCCATTGGGATCTGCTGGCTCATGCAGTCCGGGGCTCGGGCAGTCTGACTCCCCGGCTTGGAAGGGCCACAGTTCCATGGCTGGCGTGTCCCGCTGCAGGCTGGGAAGGAGCAAGGGGGGAGATGGGCCAAGCGGGGAGAGGGTGGAGGGTCCTTAACAGAGCCAAGCCAGCAGACAGGACCCCAGCTAGCCCAGTCGTGAGCCCTAGGCCCTGCTCCCAGGGGCGAGAGCGGACGTGGAACCCTTACCTGGACGGTGATAAGTTTCTTCTCCTTCGGCTTCTGGTCCGGCCACTCCTCTCCGAAGCAGAGGAAGATTTCGAAGGGGGGCGGCGTGCTGGTCTGGCCCTTCTGGAACAGGATGAGCCCTAGAGAGCCCCACAACAGACACGGCATGAGGGGCAGGGCCCCCGTGGCATTTCCAATGCCCTTCCCTCCCCAGCATCTAGCGACACCCCCCCCAGCCGCGTGGGAGGAGACAGGGCCAGAGGAGAGGGGCCCCAGGGGACTGGCAGCCAGGGAAGCTGGGGGCAGAGAAGCCATGTGGGGAGGCCGGGGCTGGGGCCGGGGAGCCAGGCTGTGGAGGGCAGGGCTGGCCCCCGGCCCCTCCGCTCACCGTTGAGGAAGTTCTCCAGGCTGAAGAGTTTGATCTTCCTCTCGCGCTCGATGGGGTTGGGGCCGGCCCGCTCGCCGGCGCAGGGCCCCGTCCAGAAGACCTTGCACTGACACAGCCGGACGGCGTAGATGTCTTGGCCCTGCAGCTCCAGGATGAGGCCCCGGTCCATGACGTCCAGCAGCTGGTGGGTGTAGAAGCGCTGCTTCTCGTTGGGGATGTGCTCGGTGCTGGGGAAGCGCACCTGCTCCAGCGTCACGGGCCCGAAGAGCTCCACCTGCTCGTGCGTGGGCTCCAGGCTGCTGTGGAACAGCCGGCACCCGTGGGGGTTGCTGATGGTCAGGGAGCTGGCCTGCCGCCCGCGGTAGTGGAACTTGAGCTCCAGGTCGGTCACTGGCCGCGGGGAGAGCGAGACAAGCCCGTTAGCCGGGGGAATCGGGCGGGAGAGCGCCCGGGGGGCCCTGATAGTCCTGTGCTACCGTCACGCCGCTACCTCCCCCCGCGCTTTCCCCCCGGCCCCGCACCTGTCGCGAGCCGCGCACCGGCATGGCCACGGCGCTAGGCGCTGTCCGGACCTAACGGCATGCAGCCCCCGCCCCGGAGAGCTCGCAGGCCCGGTGCCCGTGCACCAGACTAGAAGGGGCAGTGCCAGGACCCGGGGAGGGCGCGCTAGGCGCCGACGGGGAGGGCAGCCCCAGGCTGAGCGGGATCTTACGTGGCAGCATGTGTGGGCTGATGAGCAGGTCTGGGATGAACTGTTCCATGGGCTGCAGAGACACGTCCCCGGGGGGCAGGTTCTGCAGGCTGCCCGGCCCCTCCAGCGGCATGCTCCCAGCCGGGCTCTGGGCGGGCAGCTCCCCTGCTGCGAAGACGCCAGCAG